GGCGGGCTCCGAGCGGCTGCTCCGCGGCTGGGACACCCGCTCCAGGCTGGCCTCCGCTGTGGCGGCGTGAGACTCCCCACGGCACCGGTTTCTTCTTCCCGAGTCTAACCCTCAACACCAGTCCTTTCGCACTCTGCGGGACTTCCTGTGCGGAATTAGGAACAATGACTCATCCAATCTACTCGGGTGGAGACGTGGTGTCTAGAACCAGGGGACTGGATGAGCTCACAAAGGACGCGAGGGTGGAAAGATTCCGCGGCCCTTGGCAAGGAGCTGAGCAGAGCGGGGGCCCGGAAGGGGTTAAGGGCGCCACAGGATCCCCGCAGGCGCAGAAGCAGAAGCAGGTCTGACGCCGGAGGACAGGGGAGGCGGCGGGCGGAAGCCGCTGGGAACGACTCAATTTATCAAGGCTTACGACATCCTCCGTTGTCTCCCACATGGTCTAGCGGTTAGGATTCCTGGTTTTCACCCAGGCGGCCCGGGTTCGACTCCCGGTGTGGGAACACCGAATCTTTTAGGAAAAAGAAAAGCCGATTCAGGCCCTCCTCGGCTCCTCAACCAGAAGGCTGGTGTTTTTAGAAAAACCTATAACCCAATTTCAGAGCAGCAGGGAAGCTTGGGCCTGAAGGGAATCCGGGCGTCCCGCCCCAAACCCGGCGCGGCTGGCGGAAGCAGGCGGAAAGGCAGTAGCTCCGACAGTGAGCAAGTTAGCTTTTGAAATAGGGGATGGAATCCGAGTGAAGAAGGTGGGTCCGGCCCTAAAATACCTGTTCGGCTGGTACTACTGATGTAATTGCTCCTTGTTCTGTGGCTATGGAGCGGGTGACCGAACGGTGCCCTTCTTTGAAAGAAAAAGAAAAGACGCATGTGGGGACATTATAAGGCTTTTAAGTTGCCTAAAGCCATTTTATTGAGGACAGCAAGATTGCCAGAAAAGACGTATTATTAAGGGCAGAGTAGCTCCGCGTCCGGTCTGTGGGGTTAGCCGTCGGGCGAGCTCACTAAACCCGTTCTGTGGGGAGGGGAAGGAAGAAGGGGAACTTCGGTTATTGTCACTATCGAGGAGCGTGGCACGGGCCGGGAACACCACTTCCTTCTCCAGCCCCAACATGTATTTGACACATTCTGTTTTTAAAACTTCTAGAACCCATGATATGCTGAACTAGAATTAGGAATCTTAGCGTCGATGTGTCACAAGACGGCTTCCAACTGTTACCCCAAGAAGTGTTTCCTCGGCTGTAATCGTTTATCTTGCTTATCGCTCCAAACATTTGCCATTAGGAAAATCCTCAAGGCGTTCAGAAGCCACACTCCTTTCCCACTGGTGTTGAATTTTTGGAAGCTTCCCCGGTTGTTCCCAGACTGCCACCAACACTGAGACATGACCGTGAAAAAGACTTGGTGTCCCTGTGACTTTGAAATTTGCTCTCCTTTAAAAGGCCTTTGGGATTCTAAGGGTCGCAAAACAAAATGTCATCCTTCATGAGAAAATTACTAGGCGGAAAATACACATTTATTCAAAATCCCTAATAAAGGGCTTGGAGGAGAAATTTATCGTCAGCTGATAATCTGCATTTATGGAATCAAGTAGGACAGAACTGATAAGAAGATAAAAAGCCCAATCATCATAACAATAGGTAATATTTATTGAGCACTTGCTATGAACCAGGCTAAATGCTTTATGTACCTTTTTCAATTTAATCCTTATTTTGTTATTAGATAATATTATTATGCCTCTATCAGCCAGGGGCCCAGTAGGAAACTGATGACAGATTCTTAGCAGAGAATTTAATAAAGGGACTATTGCAGGTTTATTTAGAGTTTAGGGAAACAAAGAATAATGCAGTCAGTCCTGGGGCTCCTGGGTCTAAATGGAGAAGGGGAGGGAGGGTCGCTGATAGAGCGGGCTGCCAGTGAGGAGTTGTGTTTTTTTTGTTTATTTGTTTCATTCAAAATTTGCTTTTATCTAGCAGGTGAGTTCTATTCACATGAAGGCTGTCAAATGTACTCAGCCTATGAATAATTCATTTTCATAAAATAGATTTTGGGGCTCACGGATTTGACAAATCTTTCTTTAGATGCCTATGATACTTGAGACTCAGAGCATAGTAGATATTTCTAAAGACATGCTTAAGAAAATGAAAGAGTTTAACTTTTTGGGGAAATGGTTGAGTTATATTCGGCATTCTCATAGCCTTGCATTTTTGCAAAACATTTTGCCATAATTTTTATTAATCATTCTCATAATCAGTCTTAAGATTCAATGACTATTTGAGCTGCAAAGGTACTTAGCAGTTATTTAATTGAGCCCCTCATTTTAGTCATGAAGTCATGGGTCTGGGATTTTATTCCTCTGATTCCTTGGTATTGGACTTTCGATTTACCCATAAAAAATGGAGTCTCTGCATGGTGTCCTGGCCAGACACCACTCTCTCCAAATCCTGGCTTCAGGGAAGGGGCTTGGGTGCAGAAAACATGAATTTTAAAATTTTGTTGTATCTGGCTTTTGGTCAGTGTTCACCGAATAGCTACATGAATATAGTCATAACAAATTTTGAGTTTTTTTTTTTTAATTCACCATATAAACATTTCTAGGCAGTGAGGATCTTTATTTGGGATATTTGAACTAGTCACAGGTTCTCGATATGCTTCCATTTTTGCATATGGTCATAAAGTCTGAGGGAGTGTGCATGAAGATTGCTGTATGCCCATGCACGTGTGTATTTATAGTCCTAGAGATTTGTAACTATGTTCCCTCAGAGATATAAGCTGCATGCAAAAAGTATCTTAAATAATCACAGCATTAAAACTTAATACAGGAAAGGGAAGGCAAATACAAAATTTAACACACCCACGTTGTAAAGCTGAATAACTTGGAAAAACACTGAATACTTGGAAAATCACTGGAACAAATAATCAAAAAATCAATTTGCAAACACCTAGAAGACCACAGGGTCCTGGGTAATCACGGCACATTGCTTTGTGAAAAACAAAGCTTATCGGATAAATAAGAGTGACAGGCACGGTAGATGGGGGGAGCGGTCAAAATAATGTATCCCCATTTAAGAAACCCTGGGATTTTGCCCTTTGTTGTGTACTCATGAAGAAAACGTAGGCTATTGCCGTCTGGCAAGGACACGTCAAACCGAAGTTCAAGGCTGGGCTTCCCCCAGATGGGCAACTTACACTCAGTCTATGCAAAAATGACCTCGTCCTTTACCAAGCCTCTGCTTGATTCCTTCAAGTGTCATTCAGGTGGTGTTGATGCAAATTACTTCATCGGTTCCTCAGTTCCCTGGACTCTAGAAGGGGGGTGATAATAGGACCCGCGTCATGGCATTGTGGAGATGAGATCTGAAAGTGCACGCAAAGGGCTTGGCCCAGGGCGGGGCTGGTGGCCACTAGTGGCCCTCACCCTTAGTGCGAGTATCACCGTGGTTATCACGTTTGGTTCCTCTTTCTCCTCTACTTCCCATCACAACGTTACATCTGATCATTTCTACCTTTTCAGTGGTGCCCACGTATGTTGGCATCGATTTCCCCTGCTGCTGGGTCAGATCGTCTTGCTCCGTGGGCTGTCGGAATAGGCGCCAAACTGGTTTCTCTGTCCCCAACACACCCATCTCTTCATCTCACATTCTGTTGCTTGTCACATAGCTCAGAGCTGAGCATGCAGCTGCCCTGGGCCTACACCCGCGGGGCTTCGCCTACTGTGAGCTCCCAACCCACCTTTGCAGCGTAATTCCTACCTCTTCCCTCTGTGCATCCCAGATTCCCGTTAATTTCTCCCTGGGTCCTGTATCTGCCTTCACTCCATGTTTCCTCTGTGAAATGCTCTTGTGCCCTTTCTCTAAATATCTGCGTCTTGCCCATCCTTTAAGGCTTACTTCAAGTGTCATGTCCTTCTTGGAGCTTCCCCTACCTTTCCTGCCACCGGGAACCTCTTCTGATGCCCCTTAGTGTCCTGTGTACCCGCCTTCTGATACTTATTCCTAACTTCAGGCCTTTTCTTAGATGTCATTTCCTCCAAAGGTCTGCCTTGCCCCACTGACAGGTGACATGCTTGGCTCTGCACGTTTCTCTCTCATTGCATTCCCCACACCTGCCATGGCGCCCCAGGATTATGTGCTCCAAGGCCAGGGCCCTGCACACGGTAAATACTTAATAAATGTGTGTTGAGGGAAGGTGTGAGCTGGACAAGGACTGTATTGTCCTGAGGAACACCTGAGGCTCCAAGTTACAGAAAGTCACTGGAACTAGTTAGGGCCCAAGGGAATCATTAGCTTATGTAACCGAACTGTGGGAAGTGGGGGTAGTGGGATTGGCCTCAAGAACCACCAGCCCAGTGTTCTCTCTCTCTCTCCCTCTCTGTCAGATTTATTCTCATCTCTCATGGGCAAGCTGCTTCCACACGGCAAGGGATCTGGGCCCTGCCAGCTCCATGTTCATTCTGCACAGCTTCCCCAGCGGAGACAGAAGGCCTTTCTTAGTTTCTGTTGGAAAGTGCTGGGGAGGAATTCGGCCTCACCTGGGCCCCGTGCCCTCCTGATGGTTGATGTGCATGGGGTGTTGTGGTTGGCAGCCCTCGTCAGAATCCCATGGGGGAGAGGAAGGAGGAACAGGGATTCAAAGTAAGCCAGATAAATTAAATAGTGGTGATGGTCACACCATTTTGTGAATGTACGAGAAACCTCTCAGTTGTGAAAGACTGAATTTTATGGTATGTGAGTTATATCCCAATAAAAAAATAATAATGAAAAGATAAGCCAGAAATAAAATCTTGCTGGCAAAATAAACATTTTTATATTCCCTTTTTTCGAGCCATTCATTTATTCAGCCAACATTTATAGTGTGCCTATGATGTGATGACCACTGATCTAGATTGACAGTTTAGTTGGGGAATCACACACACACACACACACGCACACGCACACACACACACATCAGCTAAGAAACTTGGATTTCATTCTCAGTGTGATGGGAAACCTCTGGAGGGTTAAGCATGGAGACAGTTCCACCCCAGGATGAGACTCCCCGGATTCGAGGGCCTGGCCCTCTGCTTGTGGTCGGAACTGACCACACTTTTGTTCGAAGAGGAGAATGTTTTGGCAGGTCTCGCGAGATGGCTTTATAACCTCATTTTCAGAATTTGGCACTTTTGTCATAAAATAAAGTTTCCTTTTGGGGTAACCCAGATCACATCATACTTTGTTTTCAGCCCATTTGCCCAAAGTTAACCAAACTGCAGAGTTTGAAGGCGCAGTTGCCAAGTCTGCCCTCACTTTGGACACCGACTGCGAGTTTGGGGGGCTTGCCAAAACCACCCTCAGGTTTGATGCTCTGCTAGAAGGACCCACAGAACTCACTGAAAGCTGTTATGGTTTATTACAGGGTAAGGATGCAGAATGAAATCATTCAAAGGAAGAGACACAGAGGGCAGAGTCTGGAGTGTTCCAAATGCCAAACTTCCATTGCCTTCTCTCTCCATGGAATCAGGATGCATTAACCTCCCAGTATTGGTATGTGACAATATGCATTGAATATTGCCCACCAGAGAAGCTCATCTTAGTTTTTATTGGGGCTTTATTATGTAGGCATGATTGATTGATCACCCACGTGGTTGAACTCAGTCTCTAGGTTGACTGATAACAAGCGACCCAGAGCCCTGACCCTAAATCACATGGTCTTTCTGACATGGCCAGCTCGCCCCTAAAACTATCAGGTGTGTCCAACACCTGTCCTAAGGAAAGATACTCCTATCAGGTATGACATAGATTACTTCCCAGAGGCTGAGGGCAAAGGTCAGACCTCTTTCCGGGCAAGTTCAAATTCTTTACTATGCATCATTTTTTTTTTTTTTTTTTTCTAATTTTCTCCTCATTAGATACAGAGGAGAGAGGATTGGTTATTGCCACAAACTGCCAAAACATGGGTAAGTGCTTGGGACAGCAGCTCACCCTGGCTCTGGCTGCCCTCCCAGCTTCTCTCCAGACTTCCCAAGGGGAAGTTCCAAAAAGAGGGGTATGGAGGGGCTGTGGGGAATAGCAGTCTTTCTCCGAGGCCCACGCTCTTTGGCTGGCTGCCTCACAGCCCCGGGCTCTGATTTTCAAATGGAAACAGTGGGCCTTTGGGGTGTGTTTGGTGCTTCATCAGAACCCCAGGTTAGTTTGAGGAACGTCACCTGCATTAGGATTTCCACTGGAAGCTCAAAAGCAAAAGTTACAGAATTGCATGTGGAAAATGGAGGCCTTGTAAGGAATTTGTCCAGATCTGGCAGCATTTGAGAGTGGACCTGGGGAGCTTCCCCTGCCCCGTACCCCCACCCCCAGTGGGTCTTGGCTACATTGGCTGACATCTGCAGGAGTCTGGGTGCATCACCTTCCACCCTGACCTTCTCACTGTGTATAAACTTAGCGAATCTGTTTGCCAAAGGCAGTGACCCCCACCATTTATTTCTTGCCTCTGGGTGCTTTCTGGTCTAGTGCTATTTTCCATTCTAAGCTCTAATATAGACAAATTGGAAGTGGGGGAATGGAGAGGAAGGTAGGAGATTTTGTAAGCATCAAATGTGTTCATTGAGTGGAGGTGGAGACAGTGAACCTGACAGTTATCAGAAGCCGGAGTAATTTTCCATAACCTGTGCTTGTTAATGTCCTGATTGGGGTTAATGGATTCAAGGGAGGCAGAGAGAGTGGTGCAAGGAGGGAAGGAAAGGAGGAATAATCAGGAGCTGGCAACAGCTCAGCGGTGGGGTGTGAAGGGAAGGGATGATTTGTTGACAACCCCAAGATGATAAGCGTCCCCAAGAGAGATGGGGAAGTGGGGCAGAGAGAATGAGATTTGTCTCCTTTGACAAATTCGAGGCCGGGACCTCTAAATGGAGCAACATAAGAGCGCAGGCCATTGAGGGGGTTCCAGACACCTAGCAGATGCCTAGGGGGCGATTGTCATTTTCAGGCAAATAGGAGACTGAGGGATTTTCTTGTGGATGG